AATCTAGGAGATCTAGTAAAAGAAAACAATCTATGAACCCACCAATCATCACAATTTTAGAGAGAAGCAAACTGAGTTTGTTTTTTACTTTTCCACATTGATCCTGTGAAGAAAAAACAGAAATATTTCTGGCCACAAATAACCCAGTAACTACAAGCACAAACACAGCCAACATTCCCTTGGCTTAGTAAAAATTGTCTACTGATAGGTCATACTATGTGAGCAGACTTGATTGATGTGAGGACATAATATTGTAACTCTTGCTGCCCAAAAAATTAGCACTAATTTGACTCATATGAATTACATTTTCAGGAGAGCAAGATCAGAGAGCAACAGAACAAGATGCAGGAAATGCAAGAATTAGGAAAAGAGGAACATAGAATTAGATTTGTAGGTTAAAAAAAACAAAAAAACAAACTAAAATCCTTCACGTCTGAAATCACAATTAAAATGCATGAATTTATATCTGTGAAGAGATGGTAGATAAGGTGGCAGTTATGACCACAGAGCTTTTTTTCCTGACATTTCACTCACACCGACCAAAAACTAAGGAGAAATCGATCTCTGCTCCAAATTAAAGACTGGAGGTATGGAGGTATTTCAGATGGCAATTTCCAAGGGGGATGAAAATATTGCAACCCTTGTCGAAGTGTCAGTGAACAAAATGTCTATTTCCAAAGCTTTGGTCTTGGAGGACTGCAGTAAGCTACAGACAAACCTTAAAACTATAATTGGTACAGGGACCGGGGATCGATTGCACAGCGCGTGTTGGGCCTCTGTGGGAGTGATTTCGTATTCTGCCCTTGGTCATGGTGCTCTTCCTTTCCTAAAAACGCAATCTCAGAGAGGTATGAACTATTGATTTTGCCACAGCGATCAGCTTGCCTCGCTCTCATCCCTGACTTTGTGCAGACCCACAATTACACTGAAGGAGATTTGACAGGACAAAAAAAAAAGCATTAGCAACCAGGCTTTACCACCTGCCTGTACTTCCTCACTAACCCCTCCTCACTTCGCCCAGGCTTGGGAGGTTAAAGGGAGGAGGGAACTCAATGCATATCTAATGTCTCCAGTCACCTGGTTCACACCATTACAAACACTAACACTTGACATGTTGACCTGCAAGGGCAGACAGACACTGGTGTAGGCTGCACAACACTGTAAGTAGTCCAGACACTAAAGTTTCACAGGGGGGCCTTAGGCTCACGCCAGTAGCAGTGGAACTGCTGCTACATTCATTTACAATAATAACGATAACTTTTGTTTTTCTTTTATTAGCATCACTGGCTTTATTTTTCTTGTAAACTGCAATGAACAGACATGAAACAATCTTTTGGAGCCACAAATCTCACAAAAATATCATGTGATTTCCTCTAAAATGTTTACTGTTCACAATTTTAGACAGTAGTCTGGTTCATAAAAGTTATCAGAAATCAACCTCAGTATTCATACGATACATGTACTGCAGCTCAATTTTGTTTTTTGATATTGTCATGATACCAAAATTGTATCATTGTTCAGCCCTCTTGCAGACAACTAAACCACAGGAATGTTTATGTATGCAATTACCAGAGTTCTCTGATGTTGCTCATAACATTGTGAGAGATAACAGGATGAAGTCTTATCACTGCTGTAAAACAGAGCTTCAAATTTTAACTGATGCAGCCACATCTGACCTCAAGTTCCAACTAACTACCAACTTTTTGTTTCTCACCAGATAGGCAAGTATTTATCATACATGACATTTAAACTTACTTAAGTCACAAAAAGCCATTTAGTGACTTCACAAAAAGCCTGCAGGTTACTCTGCCAATTGCTGTTGCCAATTTTAAGTAAACTATAATTACAAACTAACAAAATTAATTTTTGTTTCACACATAAAAGGAGTTAGGTCTTAGGTAAAGCTCGACAGTGGAACACAGTTCATTGTATGAAGCTGTGCAAATATATGATTTTACTTTTATTTTCCATAATGTGATATATACTGATATTTAAAATCTTCTAAATAATTATAAACATTGTGATAATGATTTCAACCATAGCACCCAGCCCTAACCTAAATCAAACAATAATAACAATAATCTTTGCCATTCAGCAGTAAAACACTTAACTGACTAGGGATGGAGCAAAAGTTTGTGATTCAGTTGTAATATAAAAAATGTAATCACATGTCACTACATTGAAATCTGATTTGAGACTTCAATCACAGTTCATCATCTTCCAAATTACATTTGTTGTCTTAAATTGTTTGAGAAATGGCTCAAAGATATTGGATTTTTCCTTTGGGTCATCACACAAAAATTGAACTCAGCTAAACTGAGTTATGTATATTCAGTGTGTGTAGAAAGCAAAATGATGAAGTCAGGAGAAACTTAAATTAGAGGCCATTTCAAATCTGCTGTGTGGCGGGTTTCGGACTTTAAAAATGGCAAAAATGGGCAACAAGACAACTAAAAAGACTGCGAATCCAGCAAGACAGTCTTGCCTTGCAGATAACACTCATTACTTCCCAGTCTATTCTTTAATGTTATGTTTTATTATTACAACAGTATGCAAGTAAGCACTCTTGGCTAGAAGCATATAGACTTTTCCCTTGACAATTGTCCTTAAAACTATGGCAAAGAGACCATAGTATCCCACTAAATTTAAACATCTGTAAGCACTGCCAACACAGATTATCTTCTGAAAGATAAAAATTAAGTTATGAGCATGATAAGGACTGGAAGTATTTCTATCTTATATATTGTGGTGTTCATATTAATGTGTTCACCACCTGTATGGTTGCATGAGAGACACAAAAGACCCCTATCAATAAGAACAAATTACATTATAAGAGATAATCACTGCTGTGGTGCTTGGTCTGTTTCCAGTGAACCTGACTCAATGACTGTTCACTCCCTCAGGGTCACACTTTACTTTAACTCATCCCTTTCTACCCAGACAATTATAAATGACAGCTCTCAAATAACTGGTTCCTAAGCAATTTTATAGACCATTACTTGCGAAAACAGACCATAAAAACATGAGCATTTCGAAGTCTGAACCTTCTACATTTAATTATCCATGAAGTTGTTCTAATGAGAAAATATAATAAAAGGCCCAGGACGTACATTGTTCCTGAATGCCATTTATTAACCACAAATGTATAGGCTTGCATGTATTATAATGGTAACACGAAGAATGAACGTAGCCATACATGTCTTTCTTTTAATTTAACCCGCTAGGTTTATGATTGTAACAGATTGTTGTTGAAGAGAAGACACTTTACAGTAAATGTAGGCGGTGACAGTAGCAGGTAGTTAACCTGCTAACAATACAGATAATCGACAATGGTGTCTTTCTTTCAATCCGCTCTTTACTTTTACCTACGCGTAAACATATAAAGTGCCTATAGAGGAAAACTTATACATCAAATCCGGGGTCTGATACCGTTAAAACATATTTACACTCCAGTCAAATAATCCAGACAATCTAACGATAGCACGCTAGCTAACTCGACCGAGCTAGCTGGCCAGTTAGCCCTATTCCTGTGTAGCCGCTAACCTAAGCCAAACAAAAAGGTCGGGGAAAATGCCACAAAAACTGTGAGTCAGTATAAAACACGACAGCCTTTACCGTGTTAGTTAAAGTTTTTTGTCTTTATATTGCTTTATCTTTAATTTATGGACGAACTCACCTATATGTTGAGTTAAATTGTAACGCTAGCTGTCCGGGATCTTCTGTTGTTATTAGCTAGGCTAGCTGTCTGTAGAACTGGCAGACATTGAGTTTTGTCTCGCAAACAGCACCCCCTGTTGTATTGGAGTGATTCCATCGCCCATCAATAATGGAAAAAGTTGTAACAAATAAATAAATTATTGTGTTTTAGACTTTAATCCCAAGGGTCAGCAATCAGGTATCATGGGCCAGTTTTTCCAGGATTTTAATGAGATTTTGTTTTATTTTTGAGTATTTTACTTCATTTAAGTTTGGGATTATATTTGAATAAAGATGCAATGTATTAAGTTAATATACACAAGCCAACAGAGGCACAACAGCTTATTGATATGAATTATTTCGCAAAAAATAAATTATATATTACTCAAATATGATAGGCTATTTGTGTTTTGTGTTATTATTATTATTATTATTATTATTATCATTATTATTATGTTACCAGGTCATATTTTTTGGGATTCACACAAGACTTGTATATATAGCCTGGTGTTGCCTATAGTATATTGATGAGAATTTATGCAAGTTTTGATGCAAACTATCCAAGTCAATATATTTGTGTTGGCAGGTCAGATGTGGTCCACAAGCTATTTGCCAACCACCTCTCTAAACCAGTGTATATATATATATATATATATATATATAGGTTTAGTTCATCTTGTATGGATACTCCATAATAGCTGAAATAGCTCTTCCTTGCCTGTTTGTAAGAGGTGAAAATTAATAACTAGTTATTGCTCTATGTCGATAAGTCATTCACATGGATGCACTGCCTCAATTTAATTTTACCACCACTGAAAACCTATTTATCTTAATTTAATCAGCAGAGTAGATGAGCTATTGCCTAATGCCAAGATTATTAACACAGCATGCCAAGATTAACGGATATCGACCCTTAAAGGTTGAATTTAATTAAGATGTGAATGGAATTAATCTCTGGATCCATCAGCTCACCTTGAATGTCTTTAATACATCTTTATCCTCTGATGTTCAAGAACCAAGGTCTTTGCCGCAGCCATTTTCTTTTGTGATAAACTGTGCGAACAAACTTCGAATGTCGACCGTCGTGTTTGATTAAGTTTTCCATTGATACAGCTGCAGTTGTTCGCTTCAGTTCGACTGACTTCGATAAGGCCTAAAGTCACTTATAATGAATTTGCTCCATCTAGTGGACACAGGCAAAGCACTGCAGTTCATCAACAGCTACAAATAAAGCACAGAAATATGATATGAAACAGGGAACTTTATTTCAACATTTATTCATTTTACTAATCTGTGCACCCTTCTTTTGTTTCATGCTGTCAGAAAATATATGCATCAAAAGGTAAATGAAGAAAGCTGACATATACTTGTAGTAATCTTAAGTGATAATAAAAAGCGAATATCTGCATAATCAACCCTCACCTATTACAGCAACACAGAATAGAAATTAAGAACGATAGAAAGAAAAATACAGACATCACATACAAAAACTGATGTTTTGGTAAATAATATCAACAAATATTTACAAATTTTACATCTTTATATTCTGACTAACAGCACTACAAACAGAGACAATCAAATGCAGTGTAAGGAAAATATGTTGCAGTCAAAGAGTTTCAATCAGAAAAAAATATGTAGCTGTACATAAAACATTCACCTTCGTTTTTTAGGGATAACAACATTTCCACTGGTTGCAATGGGGATCAGGAGCTTGCGCTGCTCCATGCGAAGATATTTTTCAATAAGCACTTCCACCGGCACCTTGTCATTCACGTAACCCTGCCTGCAGAGTGCACAAACAAAAGTGAAGTTATCAGACTAAATATGGAGCTCAAGCTTGCCAATCTAGAGGTCAGTATAATACTAGTGTGCCAGTTCTTTGCCTGTTCAGCCATCTCTATAATTCTTGCTCTTCTTCATTGAGAATTGATGCGATCTCTACTTCATGTCTCAGGACTGTGTTTAGAATCTAACAAGCATACAAGTGGATCCTGAAGTGACTGCTACACTCATGGTTCTAAAGGTTGTTCATGGGCATTTTATTTCAAAGCTGGTCTAATCAATATTTTATATTAACAATGGGTCAAATAGGTCCATTTAAAGGGATGAGTTTCTTGGCACATCAAAAAGTCATTAATCCTGTCCTTAAACCACAAGCATGCTCCCTTGAGCACACAACACACTGACCTTTTCAACAGAAGTTCAGCATCCTCAACGTCTATGGTTTTTCTCTTTGCATGACTTGCATACGTCTCCAAGTCATCCGCCAGCCGGTCAAAGAATTTATCCATTCTGTTAAAATTATGGCATGCATCAGTTATCTCAACGACATACATTCCAAATTCCAATGATAAAAATATCAAAAATGCTAACTGGCTTTAAAATGATTTCAGTTCTTTTCAATTCCAATAAGTGGCTCAAAACAATGTCTCGCAATCCATTTTGTTGTTTAATTCGTTCAACTCTCTTTAAACTAAAAATATCTATAGTCATGGTTACTTACATTTCTTTTAGGGCAGGGTAAACATCGGCAGAGACCTTTGTTTTGGCAAAGTGCTTGAACACACCCATAAGGTAGTTCTTAGGAAGGCCTGCTTCTTTCTTAGTTGGCGCTCTCTTCCTCCGCACCTGCTTAGGTTTAGCTGCAGGTAAAGCTTGACTTGTACTACTGGTGGTACAACAGACATTAAAAGAACTTGTCAGTAACATAAAATTTTAATTACTCTGGCCTTCAGAGAAACACAAGTTAATATTAACTTTTTTAAAAACTGTATTTGACATCTGACATTCTGCACAATGTTTTATCAGCCTGGGACCTGTGGGACATGATTTTCTAATGAAGGGACTAGTTGTTCCAGTGCAACAGGAAGAGCAACTTGCCTGGCTTGAATATTTTTAAGAACCGAAGGTGAGTCCAGAGGATCAGGGCGAAAAAAGTTCCTTTTCTCTCTGACAAATGCTGGAGTCGTGCAGGGGAACTCTGAAGAGTTTACAAAACAAAACATTTCTTTAAAATAACATGAACACGCACACGCACACGCACACACACACACACACACGCACGCACGCACACATACACGCGCGCAAAACTGACCCTCAGTTTCTTCACCATCTTCTTCTTCATCCTCCCATTCTTCCTCCTGTTCAGCAGGGTCCTCAGCAGCAGCTTCTTCAGGTGAAGCATTATGCAGGTGGCCGCTGTCTTCAATATCATGCGTCACCTGCAGAAGATGAAAGGAGTTCTCTTTATCAGCACTCGGCTCGGCCTCTGTACAAGAAGCATCTTCCTCTCCATGGGTTGAAGACTCAACGAGGTCAGGCATCCCAACATGAGGCTGGCTGCTCTCATGGCTTCCTGTTTCCAAGCTTCTGTGTAGATCAGTGGCACTGAGTGCTTCGGACTTGCCCTCAGACCATCCTACAGGCAAGCAGCAAAATTTAAATAAGAAAACTCACTTTAAAATACCCTTTTGTCTGACTTCATCACAGTACAAGTATGATGTATATTATGTAATACGTCTTTTAACAGTCAGCTGACAATAAAAACAAAGTATTATCCATGCTATTATGAAGCGATTAGTGAATGAATCTATAATAATCAAAAATAATTCTAGAACAATTTTCATAATTGATCAATTCTTTAAGTTGATTCTTCTCATGGGCAATTTCTTCACCATCAGTTATCTATAATAATAATAATAATAATAATAATAATAATAATAATAATAATAATAATAATAATAATAATAATAATAATAAAATAATAATAATAATGGAAACCAAAACATAAAAATAATAAGAACAATAATCATTTTTAGTTGCATCCCTATTATCCACAATAAAAGATCATATTTTTTGACCATACCTGCATCTGTGGCATCTGCTTCTGTAACAGGCATAATGAGTCCACCCTCAGAGCGATGAGCCCTTCGACTAATGTGCTCCAAGTCATGTTCCAGCTGTTCTGATACCTGCTCACCCCCTTCCTCCTCCTGTTTCCCATCATGCCCATCTTCGGGCTGAGACTCAGCTATATCCCCATTTTCCTCAGATTGAGAACTTGCTGCAGGTTCTTCTTGATCACTGTGATCTTCCTCTGCATCCCCCTCTTCCTCAGACAGAGACCCGTCTTCACCATCCTCCTCAGATTGAGAATCAACTGCACCTTCTTCTTTTACTTCAGTTTGAGATTCAGCTGCACCTTCCTCCTCTTCTTCAGTTTGAGAGTCCAGTGTAACCTCCTTTTCCTCAGACTGAGACCCAGCTGCAACATCCTCTTTAGGCTGGGAATCAACTCCACCTTCTTCTCCTTCCATTTGGGAGTCAGGTACAACATCTTCTTCCTCAGACTGAGACCTGCTTGCAACATACCCTTCGCTGTGAGGATCAGCTGCACCTTCCTCTTCTGTTTGAGCTTCCACTCTGTTCTCCTCTTCCTCAGACTCTGCTGTATCATGGCTTACACAAGGCTGAGATTCAGGGTGACCATCAGTACTCTTCCATTCCTCCATTCCTGCATCCACATCTTTCTCCGACTGCAACTCAGAAGCACATTCTTCATTCTGAGGTTGTGCCATAACCTCCTCCTCAGTTGGAAATACATACATTGACTTGTCTTTCCCCAGCTTGCTCTGCTCTGCTTCCATCTGCGTTATGTCTCTCATCTGTCTCTGAAGCTGAGAAGCCATCACTGTGGGTTTGTCCTGCGTTGCAACATTGTAAAAGCTGGAGGCCATGGCATCGGGCTGGGTGTAGAGGGCCGTGTTACAGTTGACAACGTCAGTCGTGATATCAGGTTCACTGAGTTCGCTTAGGCCCAGGGTGAAGCCGTCAGAGTAGGTGGTCTCTTGGAGACCTTGCTCCACTGGGGCAAAGCTGCTCACTCCTGGGTGAGGGGAAGGGAGATAATGAGAGAAATAAGAGCATTAACAGCAACTCTGAACACAGCAGCTATAGACACAGTTCTTTTAATGTACAGTATATCTTTCTTTTAATGTACAGTATATTACAGTATTTGCTCCTCCCTTCCAAAAAGCAACAAGCTACCTCTGCTTCCTCCCAGCTGCTAGCTAGGGTGGGTCACTTTGAAGTATAAAGTGGCCAGGTGTTGAAACTGTTGAAACTGTCAATGATTCAATTATTCAATTAATCAATCAGTAAAATGTCTAATTTGCAGTAAGTATAATGAATTAATTGCTTTTGTCAGTTTTACATAAAAACACAATCATAAGTCACAGCTGTGCTGGTATTAACTTGCTTTTCCTTGTTTTATATCACTGCGTTGTATCACTGCTGTTCAGTCTCAGTATATGGGTATTTGTTACTATTTTTGACACCTCACAGAATAATTTGTGCTCTTGTCAACCTGTAATACATATTATCACAAATGTGAAAAAAAAGGTTTGGTAAGTAGAGTATTATAATCACCATGATCATTTCCCATCTGCCATCTATTTACAGCAGCTCCAAATTCTTCCTCTGTGATTTTTCGACGGTTGGAAACTTTTCTCTGCAGGCCCCTTTTCTCAGTTTGAACATCCACAAAGGGTGTTTTTAGACTCAAAGAAGTAGAACTGCAAAACAGATTGGGCAGACCTTATAGTAATGAGTCATTCACTCGTTAACATTGTTATTGTCTAACTGTTGTGAAATCACAAAAATAGATTTGCTTATTGACATCACTCACTGCAAATCGGACAATGCCTGATCAGAGTCAACATTTTATATGCGTTTACCTTGACAAAGAAAGGGATGAATGGTCACTTATTGATTCTTCATTTTCCTCTTCAACATCTGTAAACATAAGCATCTGTCAGCTAATCAGTAAAACATGCATGGTAACTGTTCACTGATACAGCTCAAATGTTTCCAAACACAAGCTTCCCATTCTTGTAGCAGCAGCTACAGCAGCAACACTCCATGTTGTCCTATAGTAAAAGAATGACTTTACAGGAACAAACAGTTAAAGAATCTTATACAATCATGTTCAATTATTGGAGCCCTATCAGTAGTGGCTTTGACCTTACCTTTTCCATCTTTAAGTCGTTTTTCAAAAGCTGTTACATTAAGGCTCCGACGAGGTCTCTTTCTGCTCAGTCCCTTTCCAGTGCTTAGTGTATTGCCAATAGTTAAATCAGGCAGATCCAGTCCAGAGAGCTCCATACTGAAAGCCAAGAAAATATAAATTCATCATAATTTACCCATTTGCATACAAACAGCCAACATTGATGGAGAGTTTGCCAGTAAAGTGGAATTTTGTTAAAGCCCCACAATGATACAAGAAGTCAATTCCTTACAACTAACTACTAATGCAGGTATTAAAACTCTGTGGAATACACACGCAGCTCACCTTGGACGCTTGCTGGTAATGCTGGAGTTGGCTGAAGGCAGCTGTGGCCCTTCTGACACAGCTTTGTCATGAACCACTGGGGACCTCACAGGTTCTGAATTACATGATAAAGGACATGCTTAAAAGGACAACAAACAGCTGCAGCATGATGTGTGAAGAAAGTCTGGAAAACGCACATACCTGTCCTCAGGATGTTCCTGAGTATATGTCTTGGTGTGTCTCCATCATCAAACAGCACTGAGGCTGGGCCAGGCGTATTAGCCTTTCTGAGCACGAACGAGGCAGTCTTCCTTGTAGTAGCCGGCAGGGACTTCCTGGTTATACTCTGGAAGTAAGGTAGATAAATCAGCTTTATTAGACTCAACATGTTCATTATCACCATATATTCTTCCCTTCTTCCTCACCTCACGCATTTTATGTTTCAAGCTGCGCCTCAGAATGTCCTGTGGGGTTCGGGCTCCAGCATCTTTCTTGCTCAGTCTATTGCTGCGTCGGGTCCCGCTGGTACTCTGCACTTTGGAGGCACTGGAGACAAGACAGCACAAAATGAATTGAGACTCATTTGTAACAAGCTAAAAATCAAGAATTTCTGTGGCACCTTGTCTTAATAGTGCTCCACCTCCTGTGTCAGGTGTGTTAAAGTATTTTTAATTCGTCTCCATAGTTTTTCTCAGTGTAATTCAAGTTCAGCAGTTACACATTCAGCACAGGCTTAATTAACTTACTGCTTACATACCAGGTCGACATTTGAAACACCGATCATTTGACTGAGTACTTTACCAGAAAAACTTAAACAGTAAAGACAGAAGTGCTACCTGCGGGTGATGGGGGTCCTGGGTGGCTCGGTGCTGAGGATATTTTTCAGCAGGACCCGAGCAGATAAATCCTCCGTATGATCCATTTAGAGACAGAGTAGCTGTTAGTCAGCTGGTTAGCTGATGTTAGCTAACAAACGTTAACTAACAGTAAAACAGTAGCGTTAACCGTGCTAAATTGCAGCTTTTGATAAATAAGTCGATTTTGCCGAAGAGCACTGAGTCCAACAAGCGGAGCCAAACCAAGGGCAGGGTCATTTATTACCGGTTTTATCTAATTAAACGTTATTTATCCTCTATTTTCTGTCTAATGTTGTCCAGCTCAACGGATTCATACCTCGTACTGTCCCGCGTTATTTTCAAGTGAAACCTCGCGAGAAGATATTTTTCCTCTTCAGCTCATTACTGCCACCAGCTGGTGAATCCAGGGAGAACACGGAGTTCAGTGTTAGATGAAAGTATATATCTTGTTGCTGAGTTGTTTGAAAACATTTTTTTAAGTCAATTCTCTACATCTTTGTTTGTTGGCATGTGTAGAATCGACCTCCGTTTACAAACAAACACATAATAACATTTAAGACACAATGAGAATAGAAAAAGAAAAATCCAAAGGGTGTATTTGTCAAATATTTTCATTTTTAAGATTTTGCAGTGAATGACTGGTGATGAGTTCTTGATGATCGATATTGATTTTGAAAGCCATATCCATTTTATGTTTATAAAACTACAAAAGAAAAATAATAAAATTCAGTCAAGTAAAAGTTGCTCATAGTAACATGGTGTCCCTGCAGGTAATAGAATTTATCTATTGGTTAGTGTAACGTTACACTGCTGGCCACAAAAAGAACAACAGCTACTGGAAATTAAATAAACATTAATTGGGAAAATGTTTTATTATCTTTAAAGGAACATTTTGTATTAATAAATTTGACGTGGTTAATGAGAAATCTTTATGAAATCTAATGTTTTATATTTTAAAAAGAGAGATCATCATCAAAAAGATTTATCATCCACAGAATCAGCCAGTGGTGGTCACCTCATCTGACTTGCTGTGCTACCACTGACATCCATGACAACAATAATCTCATGAAATCAAGGTATAGTTTTTCAGTCAGGTGGTTCTCCTTCTCTCCACCACCAATGGATATTTCACAGACTGAAATATCTCAACGCATGATGAAAAATGAGTGTACGTCCCCTGACCTAGGTGCTTATTGGCTCACGTGCTTACTCAACATTATGTTTTACATGTGCTCTTCATTTCTGTTTAACTGTATAGAGGACCTGCTCTTACTGCCTGGCCCTGGGTTACTGATTCACTACCTTTCACCACTCAGTGCTATTTCTCAAAGAGGTCTTGTTTTATCTGTCTTTCTGAAAAGCCAAAATTTGTTCCTGGGGTTTCCTGCCAGTAACATTTTAAAATACTTTTTTTATGATTTTACTAAAGATAAAAGACTAATTATTTATCAGCATTAATCTACCAATCCCTGTGAGAGTTTCACACTTACTACCAAAAGTCAGGTACAGATAGTGATCTTATAATTTAAAATCATGTTGAAGATATAGTGGTTAACAGTGTTTTTGTTTAAGAACTAGGTGAAAGTAGTGGACAAGCAGACATTCAAACGATGTTTGCATGTTTGCTTTGAATACATTACATGAGAAGAATATCAAGTGACACCTTCCATGCCACTCGATTTTATAATAATGGTCTCAAAATACCATACAGATGCAAGTTAGAGGTGTGATTGAAATGGTTTTAATGATACAACAAAGTCAAAAATAAATTCATAAATTAGTAAAACAGGTGGTTGCCTGCTTTATTCATACAGTCGTCGATAAAGTGAATGATCCCTTCCCCCCTTCACACTGGAAATTAACTGACTGAATGAGTGTAGCAAGCAGTGTGATACAACCTTCATTCAGTGTCATGGGTTTATTTCATATTTGGCAGAAAGTGCAAAGGCTCTTTACATCGTCAGAGACAGAAGCGCAAAGACACGGTGACTTAGAAATCAGGCCTGTCCTTCTTCAGCTTGGAGTAGTCCATGTTAACTGTGAAAAGCTGGAGACACACACACAAACACAAACACACACACACACACACACACACACACACACACACACACACACAAATGTACACAATCAGTATGAGGAAGGCAATATGGACTTTGATGCAGGATAACAGAAAAGATATGGCTTGTCCTTTATAGACATAGGTTTGTGCTCTAAATCTAACCAAGCAGCAATATAAAGAAATATGAACACAAAACAAAATAATCAATGTGTTACGCAAATTGGTGTAAAAAGAATTTAAGTATAATGTTCAGAGAGTTGTTACTTTGTACTGCTGATTGGGCTCCAGTTTGTTCCAGGGCTCAGGGTTGTTCTTGCGGTCCCATCTGGGCGCAAGAGAAGAAGAAAATTCTTTAATATGACAAAGTATCCTTGAGATTATTGATGTTTCTCATGCAACATGTAATACACATACAGTGAGGTTCAACAAATATTTACAGTATGTGCTGAAGCGAGAAAAAAAAAACTAGATACACAACAAGAATGTCCTTTTTATTCTAACAATTCATACTGTCTCAGATATCTCACTGGTACTTACGAGACATCAGGATTTTTCAGAGCCAGCCGACACAAGTACGTGGCGCTCATGGTTACCCCCCCACCGATGAAGATGAAGAGGGGGATCAGCTGGTGGGCAAAGAACAAAATGTCTGAAATGATTTTATGTCAAGACAACAAACATCTGCTGTTGTTCACATTAGTTCATATACATACAGTACGGTCAAGATGTCAGAGACCACTTTCCCTTTCACTTAAATGGAAAAGTGGTCTCAGACTTTTGGAGCCCACTTTATAAAACCATATAGGCTGATATAGGATATCATAAGACTCAAGCATTAAAAGAAAACAAAAAACATTGGCTTTCCATATTTATCTGTCATATTTCCCCAATGTTAAGTGGCAGTAGTGTATGAGTTAAGACACTACATTATTTCACCTAAATGAAGGTTCACACTGTGTGGTAGGGGACAAAACATGTCTACCCAGTGGTCTATTAATAACTGTTTCACCCCGTCGCCCTCTGATTAACAGTACACTCCACATGCATTTGGCCTGGCCTGGAGTCATTCCAGTATGGAGCCTATACAGTGCTGTACGTGCTGCAGCGACCTACACGCATGGCTGTGAACATACAGTCATCTCGTGGGGAAGAACGCGCGCGTTTGCCCGCAGATCTTTCCCTTCGACCATTATAACGACATTATTATATTACAGTATTGTCCTCTGTATGAATGTTTCCTGCCGCATCATTGCAGGTGGATTCATTTTGCTGCCAAATGAAGCTGCTATGAAGCTCAGAGGGCGGCAGAGCAAATACTAGGCTGCGCACCGTCACCGGAGGGAGGGTGATAACAGGTACATACACAATAGAGGGATGAGAAAATAAAGAGGGGATTTGGAAATGGAAATTAGTCGTATCGTTGTAAATTATCGTCCATTTATCTGAAATCTTTGGCTACAGCTGTCGAGGAATCTGACATCAGATGAATATGCCGCATACTGTGATATATATCTTTCATTTTGTCTGTCATCCCAATCGTCGCACGGATTGTTTTTTTTTTTTTTAAATAAATGTCATGTCAGTGCATTAATAGGTAATAACACATCGGACAAGCTAATTTAGGAGATCTGGGGGGAACAGGAGCGCGCCTACACACCTCGTCCTCCCGGCGCTTGAGAAAGGCACATTTCAATGTCACCGGGTCGTTCACAGATTATAACAAAAAAAATACAGCGTTCAGGACTTACAGCTGGGTGGCTCTTGAGCTGTTTGGCGACGAGTCTCAACATAGACGACATAGTGGACAATCCTCCCGCTGACAAGGGTCCGTAAAAGCGAATATCTGCGGGCAAACTGCGCGCTGCCTCGGAGGATCTCACTGTTTCCTACAGGCCTGAATGTACACTGAAGTGCACGCCACCTCCTTTACTGTCAGCCAATCCCACAATGAAACGACAACAGCTGCACATCTGTACCCTGCTGGACTGTAGCCTATACCGTGTGTGGGGCAGCAGGTGCAGCTCTACAAGCTGATCAATTTAAACCTCATGAGATAAAAACATAAGCTCCTTCTCATTTATGTTGGCTTAAAAGCTTGAAAATGTCCTTAAAATACTCAGAAGAAATTTAAATTTTAACATGAACGAGTCTTTGACAACTGGGAAATCTCAATCTACTGAGGAAGATCATGTGATACAATTGAAAGCTTCAGAATCAGTATGTTTCTTTCCCCACCAGGACCATTTTTATTCATTTAGTCGTTTCATTGTCTATTCATCTGCACGTCTTTGTGTGTGAGGACCTCTATGAAAACAAGACAGTGCAACACGAGCTTATACTCTAATTTAAAATGTTGAGATAAAATTTAAAAATTAAAAAGGTTTGGCGGTTAAGGAAATTTTTCAAAATTACAAGATTGAATCTGCATTGTGAGGGAAAGATGAGATCTGCTCTGCCACTATTTACATGCAAAGCATTTCAGTCCCATCAGGGTAAACATGATCATTTTTCACTGTGACTGCTCCACTTTAAGGAGGACTTTTCTGATGATTTGCAAAATCTGAGCTGGGACAAGGGAAGAGACAATTCAAACAGTGTCATAAATTGTCACATTGGCGAATGAGAGTAAGTTCTTACTGACAGACTGTTCAGTCTTAAATGTCATGGTTTAACTACACAAACCTGCACACCCACTCTGTTGATGTAACTATGCGAGAAGGCAATGCTGCAAAAACTGCACACCCTGCATATCTGGTATACGTTTACATCTTCTTTTTTTAAAGCTGATTTCACCATGACCCAAATCAGACCAATCACTGCAGATACTGGAAATTCAGACCAGGGCATCAAGAGTTATGACTTAAGACTAATTTAATAATCACAAAGTCAACACGTTATCATTCATATGTTTATGTGGACAGAACACAGAACCTGAGATAACAGCACATCCCCAGCATCCACACCGACTCATTAAACATTGACATTGAGGCTTATTTGGAAACAGACGATGTTTAAATGCATCAGCATTTCACCAGGATACTAAAACTAGTAGAAGTTAGTCAAACACCCAGACTAGTTAACTTTCCATCCACGTGCACACACAAACA